CTTCCTGTTGTCCCATGGTGTCAGGAAGCTGAAACGCTGCAGGAGAATATAAACACACACTGTTATATAACAGGACTTCCTGTTTCCTGTCCAAGCCATTGTTCCTCTCTCATTGATCATGAGTTGGTGTCAGTGTGTCTGTGGCGCCCCCTGTGGCTTCACCTGTCACTATTATTACTCTCTTTGTTTATTGTGGGCGCTGAACCAGAACACTGCAGAGCCAGATATAAACAGCAACATGACGACACACGTGAACCAGGTGAATGCTGAACGTTTTCATTCGTAGCAGTGTGAAATAAACCTGCTGCTTGTTTTTGATCGCGATCAGAATGACAGATGATCAACACAAGCACCTTAAATTAAGCTGCAGCCGCGGAGGAGACGATACGGGGAGACAACACAGGCGTCCATGTTGTGTACGTGTTTGTGATTCTGTTGTTTATGGTTGTGTCTGTGTTTCAGGCGGAGGGGGAGGACAGTCTGAAGAAGATGCAGCTGATGGAGTTAGCGATCCTGAACGGGACGTACAGAGACGCTAACATCAAACCCTGTAAGAGACTGACCGACCAATCAGAGAGAGAGACTGACCAATCAGAGAGAGTCTGATCAATCAGAGAGAGACCGACCAATCAGAGAGTCTAACTCCGCCTCTCCTCCTCCCCCCTATGCCCCCCCCCCATCCCCTCCNCTGCTCCTCAGACACACCTCCTAGAGAGAAAACAAGCGCTCCTCTACAACAAACACACACACACACACACACACACACACACACACACACACACACACACACACACACACACAAACACGCCTCGTTCACAGCTGAAACCTGCAGTGCCCCCTGCTGGACTGAGTCATCAACAGTAAACTGGAGGTCTTCACCCAAACAGGGAGGGGGGGGGGGGGCACCTTAAATATAATAACTCCACAGTGTCCTGATACTGAGACATGATGGACAGAGTGGACAGTTCATTATTTAAATTCAGTGGTTGTCCACAGGGTGGCGCTGCGCCCTTTCTCCAGCATCTTTTTAATGTTACGTTTACTGTGAACGAGGCGTTCAGGTACGACTGTGTTCTTTAAGATGTTTGTACTACTGTCGACGTGTCGCGTAGACTGAACCTCACAGTTTTATTTAACGAACTGACGATACAACTGGAAACGATGCATCATGTGACTGCAGCTTCCTGCACTGAAACATGCAACGCCTGTAATCTGTAACTGAGACAGTGAACTGAAGCCAACACACCCTCAACACGCCTCCAACACGCCTTCAGTACACCTTCCACACGTTTTCAACACACCCTCAATACGCCTCAAACACACCTCTAACTCGTTTTCAACACACATTAAACACACCCTCAACACGCCTCCAACACGCCTCCAACACGCCACCATGTTCTGATGCTAGACGAGGTTTTCAGATTGATTTAACAGTTTAACGACGGACGATTCTGACGACGCTCACTCACGTTTCAGTGCTGCAAACAACACGAGTCTGATGTTTAGAAAATATTTTTAGACCTGAGATTAATTAATAATCAACAATAAAAGCAGTTCAGAGTGAACAAGGAGCAGCTCTAACCAGACGACCAACACAGGACATTAAGTATTATGTGTTCAAAACCACTTATGTTCTTGATTTTAAATCACTTCACTGACAGAAATCTTACTGGTCGATGTCGTGATCTAGAAAATACAATGGACTCAGGGCCACAGCTGGGAAAAAAGACGTTGAGTCATAATAATATGCAAATATAGTCATATTTTAGCAATAAAGTTGAAATGTTAAGAAAAATGTAAATATAAAAAACAAATTACAATAGAAAAGTTGTGATATTTCTATCAAATAGTCAATAAATATTATTACAAGAAAAATATCTTGTGATCTTACGACTTCATTAATGAATTATTATGATATTTTTCTCAAAGAAAATATCAGGCAACAATCTGTAAAATTATGACTTTATTCTTGAATTATTACAAGATTTTTGTTGAAACATTATAAAACTGTTCCTAACAAAGGAGGGTTAGGGTTACAGGATTACAACAGTTTTTCTCGTTATATTGTGACTTTATTCTCTAAATTTTAGTGTTTTTTCTTAATTGTGGCCCTTATCCTCTGTTGTAAGAAAAGACTGTGATAACGAATCAAACTTCAGCACCTGAAAGGGGCGTTTTCCTCATGATGACATCACAGCGCAGCCTTGTCTGTTGTTTAAATCACCTGAGAACCTCTCAGATCTCACCTGTAACCTGAACCTGTCTCAGTTTGTGCCTTAATCGTATTTCTAATGATTTTCTCTCTATGTAGCTGTGATGATGTGTTGACGTACCTGTGCGTACCTGTATGAACTGTTAAGTGACGCTGTGGATAGGTGACTCCATGTCCTCCATGACGGTTTGTGGTGTTTGCGATGTGGTCTAGGTGCGGTGGCCGCTAAAGTTCGGAGACATGAGCTGCGTGTCCGCCCTTACCGAAGGGTGGCGACCGCAGACTGAGGTTAGTCCGCCCCTCACCCCTCAGGCCCCGCCCCCTGAATTCTCACCTGCCTTTCCCACAATCCACGGCTTTGCCTCAGCTATTGTCTGTGTGAGGTGTTTTCACAGCCAGTTTTTCTATGTTGATGTCAATCAATCTTTGTCTCCAGTGGTCAGACCACACCCATTTTTAAAACTCCGCCTTCATTTTGATCCCAACTACACACCTGTAAATTGCCGTGACTGTATCTTGCAGTATCTCGCAACACACACGCCCAAACACACAAAGACTCACCAGGTGGAAACAATACCTGTTGTCATGACTGGTAATCATCTGAAATTTTATCAGACAAGGCGTGAAAACGCCCCACAGGTAACAGAACAGGTGGTTTCTGGGAAATGCAGTCCTGATGTGTGATGGTCAGGATCACCAACACAAGCTAAATGTTCTGTTTGTACATCGCAGCAGTTTGTTAGAACCATGTTTAAAATGACTTCCCGCTCCGTTATTTTGAAGACTTTATGGATCCACCATGACGTTGATGATAAATAATGGACTCATTAAACAGAAGTGATGATGATAAGTATTAAAAACATAAACATTTTTAATAAATCCACTTTGTTCTCTGGCTCCTCCTGAAGATGTTTCAGTTTCATCTCTGTCTCAAAGACTGGTTTAGCTTAGCTTAGCACAAAGACTGGAAGCAGAGGGAAACTGCTAGCCTCTACTGGGACATTCAGGTGTAACTTAAAACAGCACAGTCAGAATGATTAATTGTGTAAAACAGGTGCAATAAAATTGGGAAAACATTAGCTTGCTAATGTTAACAAACATTAGCAAGCTAATGTTAGCTTAATATGAGGCACTGTTGATATTAGCTCTCTCACCACAACCTCACATTTTTTAGTAATCAGTTTCTGAAAATTCAACATTTATCAATATGCTCTCTTACTTTTTTCAATTTTTTGATGAAGCTACGCTAACAGTTTCCACCTGCTTTCAGTCTTTGCGCTAAGCTAGGCTAATCCTGGGCACGCCTAAACCTGGACTTGTCTCAGGGCCAGACCCAGAGAAGAAACTGAGTTAACACTAAACATTGGACTCTGGAGGAGACGGAGAACCGGAGGAACAGGACTGAATGTTATACTAAAAGTTCTCAGCCGTTAATGTGACGTTAGCTAACAGTGTTGGATAATTTATCTGTGTGCACAAACCAAGTCTAGAAAAATATCAGTTTGACTTTTTGTCATGAATGAACTCAGTTTTCTTTTCCACTTTGAATTTGGATTTTCAAACTGCAGAGTGGTGACTGGACCTGAAGGTTTCTCAGCACCGACCGACCTGTAAAAACCTTTTCATCCGTCCTAAGTTTCAGACTCTGAAGTCGTCTGAGAAAACGTCTGTGCTGAGATCAGATTAGATGAAAAAGAGTTGAGGTTTGATGCGGAATCTGATGTTTCTGCTGATGATCAGAGTTTTACATTAAATATTAATACACAACACATTGATTTCAACAATAAAAGTTTTTACAAAAACTGAGAATCCAGCCCTAAATCAGAATAATGAAGGTTAAACTCGGACAACTGGACTTGTTGTTAGATACTTTAGATGTTTTCAGGCTTCAGAAACCTCTTGGGGTAGAGGTGAAACGTCTTCAAGTATCTACAGCAAGTCAAGTTTCCATCGATTCAACTTCTGGATGAATCGCCATATTTTTGGAAACGAAGTTATAATATTTAAACAAAAAAATTTACTCGAGTGATGTCACTGTCCATCAGCAGAAATGTGTTTTTCCAGTTTAAACCAGAACGATGTAAAAGTCTTAGAGGCTAAAATCCTGTAAAGAATCAGAAGAATCGTGTTTTTCTGGGGTTTTGTTACTAAAACGATCAAACTGTAATCTCTATTGATCCAAACAGTAACGGATAGGTAACACTGACTGAATTAATGAAACAAATCTGATGAAATTGCACAGAGTCCTGGTGTTAACCCGCCGTGGAGACGTCCGACTCGTCCGCCACATTAACAGATTTATAAACTCGACACACTCGAACCCGCCTGCTGGTCAAAACTCGAGTGGGCGGGATCTGTGACGCCGTCGGGTTGGGTCGGGTCGGGCGCTGTCGGTCTGCGGGTGGGTTGCATTCAGGTACCACCGGTAAACCTGTGTGTTTGCTGGTGTCTGGCTGTGATGGTGGTGTCGCCATCAACACAGCAGACAACTGAAAACCTCCGATAAACCTCAAAGACGATGATTTAAAGAGAACAAATGTTTTGACCCGAGCAGCTTCAGGTCACTTCATGGACGCGAAGATGAAGAGTGAATGAATTTTAGGAAACAGTATTCCACTTGAGACATTTTTTTTTATGTTTTTCTGTCTTTTATTTGTTTTGTTGTTGCAAAGAGAGTAGTGTTACTTGTGGCTTGTTAAAATATATATAAACATATATAAATATATATGAAAAGTATAAAGCAGGAACGTATATGAAATATAATATTTGACTTGTGTTTTGCAGAGGACTCCATTAGAGGGCTGTTTGTAGGACGAAGACGTGTAGCAGCTTTATAGAAATGTTTTTCTATTTTTGAATCTATTTTAGGGCTTTATATAAAAGACGGGAGCTTCCTGTTTATATGCAAGTTTCTATGAATGGTAGAGTCTTTAAACTGAGAGCTGTTAGCACTGTTAGCACTGTTAGCATCAAACCTTCTGTTGTAGTGTTGCTTTGTGTCGTCACAGCAAAGATTTCCATGTTTGTTGTAAATAGAAATGAATCTTCTTGAAAAGGCAATAAAAACTATTATTGAGTAAAAAGAGTAAAACTCTGTTTTTGGCTTTAAATTTTAATCCCACTGTCCTCGTTATGAACGTTTTTATTTTCACCTGGTGCTCTCTCCGATTTCCTTCATCTTCATCCATGTTCACCTTCATCACCTGCTGCTTCTTCTGATTCATGTTCACGTCCAGATGTGTAGCTGTTAGCTGCTGCTAACCACGGCCTGCTGCTAACTGTTAGTTAGACTGAGTGTATTTAAATTAAGTTGATAACAGTCAGACATAAGACATATGACACCTCATATCTCCAGATTAGAGACTGTAAACCAGCCTAGATCCTCCTCCTAAACCTGAACCCAGAGCAGATGATCAGTGGGAACATTGTTAAAACACATGAATCAATAAACCTGCAGCTGGTCCGAAATATGTCCAGACTGGGACCAGACTGGGTCCAGACTGGGTCCGGACTGGGTCCGGACTGGGTCTCTGGTTTCTGAGGTGGACCGACTGGATCTTCATTCATTGTTGTTACAATAATCAAAGGTCATGAAATCATCATGCTGAGACTAACCTCCTCTTTCTTCTGTTCTCTTCCTGTTCTGTTTCCTAACATCGACCCAGCCACCGCCCACTAACCCTCTGACCTCTGACCTTGTCCTCATCCAGAGATGACCCTGCTGTCTGCTGGTCGCTCGCCCTCTGCTGCTGCTTCTCTGGTTTCTGCAATAAAACACAAACACACACACACACACACACACACACACACAAAGGACTGAGCATCACTGCAGACCTACACTGAATCACTGCAAAGCAATAAGGAAGGTCTGACACCCTCCACCCACCCACCCCCACCAATCATGGAGCACCACCCTCCACTATCAGAACCAACAATCACGGTTCAGGCTGGGTGTCTGTGGAGTTTCAAAAAAACAATTTTCTTGAATCGTTTTTGTTTCAACGTTGGCTGAAGTCTGGCTGAAGTCTGGCTGAAGCCTGGCAGCCGCACATGAAATGTGTCAGTACGAGCTCGAGGCAGCAGGATGGAAACACAAGCAGACGGAAAGCTGCAGTGCAGTGACTTCAGAGAGGAAACAGACAGGTAAATGAACAGGTAACAGGCAGGTGACAAGAGCAGGAGCATGAACAGCGTGGAGGGTAACAGTGATGATGAGGGGCTGGTATAAATACTGAAAGAACAGGTGAGGAAATGGGGGCACAGGTATGTGAGTGGGTATGGTCTGTCAGGTGAGCTGGGACAGGTGGGAAAAAAACATCTGGTGGATGGATGGAGAGTGACAGAAGAAGAGCATGAACTGAGGAAGAAGCTGCAGGGAGGGACGAGGAATCGTGACGACAACGTGATGATTTAAATCAGGAAACGTGACGACAGAGTGAAGTGGGAGATCATCAGTTCATCACCTGCTGCTGAAGGACGAACAGACCGAACTCCATCACATGACTGTCTGAGGGAGGTGACAGCATCTTTACTGAGACGACCTGCTTCTTATCAGTTTAGTCTGAGGAACATGAGACGGCATCTGTCTCTGTTTTTGTTCTTTAATATTTGAAAATCAAATAAGAGAGTATCACAACATTTTTAAAAGGTTTTGACTTGAATTCTCTTGATTTTCTTTCCTGATTCTCCTTCGTGGTCCAGGACGAATCATAAGGAAAGTAAACTGTTCCGAAAGGAGGTGAAGCCATCTTTACTTCTCTATTGTTCTTGTGTTTACTGACGTGAATAACAGTAAACAATATGAGCTGATATCAGCCGTTGTTTTTTATGATGTCATGTGATTACTGATGCAGAGATGAAATGTATATTTTTCTACAGTGTTGACTTTTTATGTATTTGTGTGACGTAAAGTGAAACGAATGACGACCAAACAGCCTTTATATCACACACACACACACACACACACACACACACACACACACACACACACACACACACACACACACACTAACACACACACAAAAGGTGTTCGCTACAGGAGCCCAGAGTGGCCATAATATGTTTCTGTCATTTATCCCAACATCACAAATTAATTACCTCATTATCTCAATATCAAATTAATTTCATTATATTTAAAGACGACAAGATTAAATAGTCTTGATAAATGAATATTGTCATCAAACAGTAATCCCATGTCATATACTTATCTCACTGGAAAGAACAGAAACATATCTAACCCTCAGTTACAAAGTGAACATGTGTTTCATAAATGATTAGCAGCATGGCCGCTCTCAGCTTCCGTAGTTCTCAGACCAAAACAATTTTTTATTTGAAATTCCTAAAAATTTGTGTGAATAAATCAGAGGTGCCTTTATTTCCTGTTGATCATCTTAATGTTGAACTGCAGTTTTGTTTTGAATGGAACTTTATTGTCCAGAATGGGGATTTTCCTTGACCCACCAAATTAAGTTTTGTAAGACGCAGATTATGTTTTTATCAACATTTTTAGTAAAAATATCTGTTTTTTCATTCGTTTTCCTACATTATTGTGTCCTGATAATTAAACCCTGATAAAAATCTAAACACATGTAAAGTTTCATGACTGTATCTTACCTTTGTCAACAAGGTGACAAAACAACAAGTCCTTCAACACCAGCCACGCTGTTGTGCCTCGTAACAGTTTTTCCAGAAAGCTGTGTGTTCAAAGCCACACCATCTGAATATTGTGTGTCCATAATAAGCTGCATTGTAAGATGATTGTATCATTAGAAAATCAAATTAGAACGGCATTTCCCTTTTTATTTCCCTACTGGTGACATTCAGATCCCTCGACCTTCAAATGGACGGATGCTTGTGTCTTGTGAAAATAGAAAAAGCTATAAAAGCTATAAATCTTTCATATGATATTTTGACAATAATATAAAAAAAAATATAACATCTCGTGTTTATTTCAATCACAAATGATGTACTTTAACAATATAAGTGCTAGATTAAAATGTGCTTTATTATTCCTCCTCTCCTCACGGTCGGCCATTCTTGCAGAAAAGGGGGTGTGGCTCTACTGCAATGTGGAACACTCTAATTGGCTTATATTGTCTCAGAAACTAGCTTGACTTCCGGCTGTTGTATCTATAATTTCTGCCATTTTGGTGGGCATTTTCTTTTTTTGGTGGTTTGCATCATCTGCATTGAGGATCACCCCCGATCGCCAAAGTGATCTTGACTCTGCTCCTACCGTTCTGAGATCAGTTATGATGTCGCAGCATTATACGCACGCGCAGACTTGTTTTAACCGTTAAGAGGCAGCAGTAGCAGGTAAACGAGCTAATCACACCGATTCATCATCTCTGTGTGAGATCTGCTGTAAATTTGAGACAGAATATTGTCACAGGAGTAGAGCGACTTCTTTTTGCCAATAGATCGGTACGTAGGTCGTGTGCGTAGCGGGCGAGAGAGAGAGAGAGAGCGGTGACGCTGGAGACAGGAGCAGAGAGTTAGCTAGCTAGTTAGCAGTTAGCCGTGTAGCTGTGAATGTAACACTGGATGTGAATGTGCGTTTTAGGCTGTTTGTCGGTAAATAAATGCTACGATTCCTCAAGACCGAAGTTCCCGCCTCTCCTCCTGTGCTTCAACTACATGAGCCAGGTAAGATTAACAACACTGAGGAAGGTAAACACAGGATTCTGCATCATCACAGGATTGTCAGTTAATGGTAAATATTTATAATTATATATATTTATAATATTTATAAGATTGAAAGTATGTGGAAGTCCGTCTGAGTTCAGTATTTACCCTGAGACCTGAGACCTGCTCTCGTTCAGGTCCTGAATGACAGTGGAGACACAGACGGTGGAGAAGGTTTGAATTGATTTATAAAGACTCACTTTATTTCTGATCTGCTTCTTCATTCTGAAGCGGCCTCATGGTCTGGACCAGGTCTGTTAGAGTCCTGACCTCTCAGGTGGTTTGGACCAGGTCTGTTAGAGTCCTGACCTCTCAGGTGGTTTGGACCAGGTCTGTTAAGAGTCCCGACCTCTCAGGTGGTCTGGACCAGGTCTAGTCCCAATTGAACATGTGGAAATAGTGTCCCGTTTTTTTAGACTTAAACTTTTCTCCTTTTATTCTGTCCATGTTTGTTTTCATACTATTATTATAATAAACAGGAAATGGAGAGGATGCAGGATGACGACAAACAACATGGCCGAAATATATTCTCCATCATTACTGCTCTAATATAAACCAGCAGGACGTCAGACTCTCTGTGTGTGTGTGTGTGTGTCTGCTTGGATGAAAAGTTTGTTTAGAAAATTTCCATCTGTTTTTATGGTTCCTTCACATCCATCATGTTGTTTCAGGAGGAGGAGGAGGAGGAGGAGAAGAAGAAGAAGTCTCCGGTGGATGAGGTGAAGGTCAGAGGTGGGTGGAGCCTGTTGTCTCTCCTGTCAGCTCCTCTTTCAGTCTCTCTGCAGAGGAGACGCTGCTGACTCTTACTCTGCTTCTCCCAGGGGAGCGTTTACCTCCTCATTAGCCCCACACACCTCCTGCTGTAATGCAGTGAGGAGGAGGAGGAAGAGGAAGAGTGTCTCTGTCTCTATCTGCATTGATCTTTCACTTCAGATCAGTTACATCATCAGATTCACTGACAGACTGTCAACACAGCTGCTGCTGATTGGCCCACTACAATACTACAACAACAACAACAACAACACCAATAATAATAAAATTAATAATGATGATGATGATGTGGGCGGAGCCTCTGTTTATAACTGATGTTTTTTTTAAAGGATTTTAAACACTTTTACCAAGAAATGGTGAAAGCTCCTCTCCTCATCTCTTCCTCCTCCTTCTCTCCTCATCTCTTCCTCCTCCTCCTCTCCTCATGTCTCTTCCTCCTTCTCTCCTCATCTCTTCCTCCTCCTCCTCTCTTCATCTCTTCCTCCTCCTCCTCTCCTCATCTCTTCCTCCTCCTCCTCCTCTCCTCATGCCTCTTCCTTCTCTCTTCATGTCTCTTCCTCCTCCTCTCCTCATCTCTTCCTCCTCCTCCTCTCCTTGTGTCTCCTCCTCGCTGTCGTCTGTCA